CCACAATATGATTTTGAGGAAATGTCAGACATACAATATGAAAATTATCCATATATACCTGGAGCCTCAATGGATGATGGTTTTTCGCAGATAGTTCATCCTCAAGAAATGTTTCATCCCACAATGCCTCAAGTGCCCTCACCAACAGCCATGCTAATTAAGCAAGCAAATAATCCCCAGGGATTTGTCAATCAACATATGTCACATATGGCTCAAGCTGGTGGATTTCCACCATCTCCCACACCAAGCAGGAGGTCTATGCCAGGAATGGCCTACCCTCTGCATAAGTCTATGTCACCCATGGCACCTATGGAACCTATGTCAAGTTTTGGAGAGCCGGTAATGGAAGTTAGACGTTCCCCCGTACCTATACGCAGACCGAGCCCCCATGCCTCCCCGCAGCTATCCATGCATCCTGCTGCTCCACTCCCTATGAGAAGAAGCCCATCCCCACAGCCCTCTCTGCGTGGCATTGGAGGCATGGGAGCACCTCCATCCCCAAGACTAGCCAGAGGTATGTCCTCTCCAATAAGTCATTTTCAACACCCTCCATCTCCAATTGGACGCAAAATGAGCCCACCTGTTTCTCCAACACTTTCTAGACGTTTTCAGCCTCAGGCTTCATTTAGAGAAGGGCCACCCGCTTCACCAACAGTCCCTAGACGTTTGCAGCCCCAGGTTCCATTTAGAGAAGGTCCATATGCTTCACCAACAGTCCCTAGACGCTTGCAGCCTCAGGCATCCTTTAGAGAGGCACCACCATCTCCCCAGCCAATGCCTGGCCGTTTGCCCTCACGAGCTCCATCTCTGTATACCAGTCCTCCAGCTTCACCTCGTGCATCTATCCGGAGGAGGAGCCCAACACAGTCTCCTCGTGCCTCAATTAGGAGACCCAGTCCACCCTCCTCACCCTCACAAGTTCATCGTCCATTTGGTGTCAAGAAATTTCAAGCCTCCCCATCTCCACTTAGGCGGATGAGTCCTCCATCTTCCCCTCAGATGGGTATGCGAACCATGGCCAATGTTCAGCAGAGGGAACTTCACAGACCACTGTCTCCATTAATGCCTCAAAGAGTATCTCCTACTCCCTCTAGAAGAAGTTTTACTGTGGAACCAGACTCCCAACAACCACCACTGCAACGTAGATCCCCCTCTCCTACCCTTTCCCGCAGGTCCACTCGCCTTATGAAGGATTCTCCACCTTTTGGGTCCCCTGGAGGTCGACTACGAGGAAGGGGCCGTCCAAACATCCCCATGGGAGCTGTGAAACCATATCCTGGCCGAGGAGGTCATTCTGGAACTCCAACACAAAATGTACGTCCATTTAGACCATCCATACGTAGTAACAGGTCCATGATGCCACAGGATTTCACAGCCTCCCCACAACTCTCAGGTCAACACACTGGGATGGGCATAAGGGAACAAAGTCGTTTCAATCTTCCAGGAACACCTGGTCCAATGAGAAACCCACAGAGACCCATTGGTCGTGGCCGTCCACTCATGGCCGGACAGTCACTGAGGCGTGCACCTGGCATGATGCCCCCTTCACCACAACTTTCTCAAAAATATATGCACCCTCCATCACCTCAGCCTTCTATTAGACATCTCTCCAGACCAGGCTCTCCTCATCCATCCATTAAACATGGCTCACCATTACCTATGCGTCCCACTTCCCCAAGGGCTCTGCCTACTTCTGTGCTTTCTGGTCCTCCAATGTATGGATCTTCATTTGCATCTCCTTTGCCTATCGGCGCAGAGCCAATCCCTGTACAATTTGATCAGATTAGTGGTGTTCCTCAGTCACCAATGCTTACAAGTGTCCTCCGAAACCAAAGTGTCAGTAATGCATCCTATATTTCACCCGTCCAACAGCCCATGTCGCCTTATGCTCTTGAGATCATTAATGTTCCACAGGTTCCTGGTCAACCACCTTCACCAGTTCCCTCCCTTGCCCTGCAACCCCCTAATCTAAACAATGCTATGCATGTCTCCCAATTGCAACCAGTACCCTCACCATATAATCCTGAAATGGTTGTAATGGATCAGCATACAGAACAGATGGCGTCTCCACTTTTGTCAAATTCCTTACAAAATGCTCAGCTTCGAGAAGCTTCTTACATTTTGCCCATGCAAAGACCAGGTTCACCTTATGTTCCTGAAGTGGCTCAGTTTGGTGAGATCCCTGAACAACTACCTATTTCTTCCCCGTATGTTCCTCAAATGGAAGCATTTGAACAAGTTCCAGGTCAGCCAGCATCACCTTTTCTCTCCAGTGCAATTCACAATCCACAGCTTCGCAATGCTTCATACCGATCACCTCTTCAAAGGCCACATTCACCCTATACTCAGGTAGAGACAGGCTATGATTACATTGAAGAGCCAGGTGCTGGCCCCATTCTTTCCAATGCTCTTCAAAATCCAAATGTCCGCAATGCTTCTTACAGAACACATTTACATCGCAGGGGATCCCGTGTTCCCCCTGGGTATGGTCCAAGGGGATCTCCAGTTCTTTCAACGGCTTTGCAGAACCAAAATGTCCGTAATGCATCATACCGAGCACCTGTCCAGGGAATGGTCTCCCCTTATGCAAATGTGTCAGGATATAGGCAGGATCCTAGGAAATCTCCTTTTTTGTCTGATGCATTGCACAACCCCCAACTCCGTGGTGCCACTTATCGCTTGCCTGATGGGTCAGTAGTATATGGTAATCAGGTAGCAAATGTACACTCTTCTCCAATGCTTGCAGATGCAATTGGAAATCCTCAGCTCCAGAATGCAGCATATAGGCTTCCTGCTGGGTCCATAGTAGACCCACGACAGCAACAATCTTTCTCACCAAACCTCTCAAATGCTTTGCAGAACCAAAACATAAGAAATGCCTCTTATAGACTTCCAGATGGATCAATAATGTACCCAGACTCTCATTTACAGCAAACTTCTCCGAACCTGTCCAGTGCTTTACAGAATCCAAATGTGAGGAATGCCTCTTATAGACTTCCAGATGGATCGATAATGTACCCAGACTCTCATTTACAGCAAACTTCTCCAAACCTGTCCAGTGCTTTACAGAATCCAAATGTGAGGAATGCCTCTTATAGACTTCCAGATGGATCGATAATGTACCCAGACTCTCATTTACAGCAAACTTCTCCAAACCTGTCCAGTGCCTTGCAGAATCCAAATCTGAGGAATGCAACTTATAGACTTCCAGATGGAACTCTTATAACAGCAGGACAACAACAGCCAACCTCACCAAACCTGTCACATGCACTTCAGAATCAGCACATTAAGAAGGCATCATATAGACTGCCAGATGGGACAATAATAATGGCTGATCAGCAAATGGAACCAACATCTCCAAATCTGGCCAGTGCACTGCAGAACCAAAACATTCGAAATGCAACTTACAGATTGCCGGACGGCACATTAATAACAACGGACTATGGGCAGCCCACATCTACTTCCCCAAATTTATCACATGCACTTCAAAACCAACAAATGAGAAATGCCAGCTATCGTTTACCTGATGGCTCAGTTATAACTGGACCAGGTTATCAACCTAAGTCTCCAAATTTGTCAAGCGCACTTCAGAATCGGGATATTCGCAATGCTACCTACAGGTTACCTGATGGTTCCATAATAAGTGCTGATACAAGTTATAAACCTATAACCCCAACTCTCTCCTCCGCACTGAGAAATGAAGGTTTGAAAAATGTCTCCTATAGGCTTCCGGATGGATCTGTTATTTCACAAGCTTTGTATAAACCAAGGAGTCCAAACATTTCAAATGCCTTGCAGAATGAAAATGTTCGCAAGGCTACATACCAGTTACCGGATGGATCTATTATTTCAGCAGATACTCGAAGACATATAACCAGTCCAAATCTATCACAGGCACTTCTAAATCAAAATCTCCGCCAGGCCACATACAGATTACCTGATGGATCAGTCCTCGCTCAAAGATTTGAAGTCCCCACTTCGCCACATTTAATGGATGCTATAAAGAATGCTGACCTGAAGAAAGCCTCTTATCAACTACCTTCAGGGATCTCCACCTATTTGACCTCCTCTGGGCAGGTGGTTATTGGACCAGATGGCCGTTATGTTTTAGTTCCACCACAGCGAAAAGGTCCAGGTCCAGAAGATCACTGGGCTCAGAATGGCAGAGAGGGGCAAACTGCAGAGGACCATTGGGCTGCAGAAAGAGTCTTGCCTCATGACACAGTACAGAACCTCATTAAATGGTCTATGTACCGAGATGAGAAAATGATGGAATTTATTACCCCACCACCAACTGGTCTTATGCCAGGAGAAACAGAGCTGCAGTGGGTACCAGATCGTGAAGGGGAGCCAAAAGGACAGTGGTATGACAAGGTAAATCGCTTTTAAGACATAAAGCAAACATTAATTAGTGACTTGTTTATTTAACAAATGATAACAGAAATTACAAATACAGTGTATTTTTCCAGTCCCAGAGACACTAACTGTAATAACGCTTTCATTATTTTTTCTTCTCAATAAATTAATGATTTTGCTTGTGGTTTTTTATACAATTTGCCAAACACATATATATATATATATATGTATGAATGTTTATATTAGGAAGGAATTATAAATAATCAGGTTTAATTAAACTAAGCTTAATACTGAGTAATGCTGTCAGGTAGACAGCGATGCATTTGTCAGATTTAACAAGTCTGTTAGCCTTTGAGCCTTAACAAAAGGCCCAGCCAAGCTCACCTATCTTCATCAGGTTTTAGCTGCAGTCTGCAACTACATCGAATGTCAGATGAGATTTACAAGGCTGATTATAACTGATCTCAGGTTACCTTGCTGACCAGTGATAATCATCACTGCATTATTGTAGAGCAGGCCCTAGAAAAGACAACTTGACCTAATTCATCAGCGATATTCTCTAATGTAATTGCATTAGTTTAAAATGTCTTCTCAGATTTCTTTGAATGTTCTCAGTTTGCATATATGTTGCATTTTTCGAACAGATGTATTCTATAAGAAGCCTGCCTACTGTCAGCTACAGGGTGAAAAGGGAAGGGGATGGAGCTGAGGACATGACACAAATGGAGTATGTCAGCATAAATATACATATGCAAATGTAAAGATGATTATGGGATATGAAATAACTAATTCTTCCTCTATTTTTTCCAGAGAGCTTACTGAGGCAGTAGTATTGATAAACCTGAAGACTCGCTTTGATCAAGCGCTTATCTATGTGAGTCTTGTAATCATATTGCAGTAAGCATACACAGACATCACAAAGATGTCTGCTAGTTCTAATTATTGTGTACAAAGATATGGTAAATATCTTTGAAAAAGTGGATTTACATTATGTTCTAATATGCACAAATCAGACATGCTCATGTACTTTTGCAATCAGTGACCACACAGCCCATTATCTCTCCAAAATTCTTCAGAGAAACACTTTATAATTAAGTTTAAAAAAACACTTTCTTTAACATTCTTTGTTATTTTACACAAAAATACTACACTGGACAGGCCAATAAGCAGATTTACGTTTGAATAAAGTTGTTTTAAAAATGTTTTCCTCAATAGCATGAATAGACCTTCACCATTATAATTTAAATCTCTTGTGAATCTAACTACATTATTAATTTCTCCCTTGTCTTCTAAGCAGACATACATTGGCAGTATTTTGGTGTCTGTGAATCCATACCAACTATTTAACATCTATGGCACAGATGTGGTTCTGCAGTACGAGGGCCATGGCTTTGGAGATAACCCACCGTGAGTCTGAACAATCACAACAATTCTTAACAACACATTTTCTTATATTTCAACTCCTAAAAAGAAGGAAAAAATGGTTCCTATATCCTTTGTTACAGTCCATATTTTACCACAAATTTATGTTTGTTTTTTTAGAAACTTACCCAGTTAGGCAGATGATATGCCCTCGTTCTCGAAAACATAAACATTGATAATAATAAGAAATATTTCTTGAGCACCAAATCAGCATATTATTATGATTCGTGAAGGATCATGTGACATTGAAGGCTGAAGGAATGGCTACTGAAAATTCAGCTTTGTAGCACAGGAATAAATTACATTTAAAATTGTTTTTAAATTGTAATAATATTTCACAATATTACTGTATTTTTACAGTGTTATGCCATTTTAAATATTATATAAAATATTAAATTGCACAATTTTATTGTATTTTTAATTAAATTAATGCAGTCTTGCCTTATCAACCCATTAACAGTAGTGTTAATTAAAAGTATAAAAAAAGAAGCAGGAAGAAAATTAAGATTAAGATTTTATCTTTCATCCCTTTACAATACTTTTATTGCCAGAAATGTACAGTATGTAAACCTGCCATGTTTGTTTCCAGTCATCTCTTTGCCATTGTAAACATTGCCTACACTACAATGATGGACATCAAGCGAAACCAGTGTGTCATTATCAGGTCAGATGAAAGTATGTGAGTGTGTCATTTGTAGAAGATGTGGAAGTATTGTATGTCTATGTAATGCTGTATTAAAGTGTTTGTATTGTAGTGGGGAAAGTGGTTCTGGAAAGACAGAGGCGACCAAACTGGTTCTGAGGTACCTCACTGCTATTCACCATAAGAGGAACATTACACAACAGGTACGTGTATATAGAAAAAAATTAAACATAAAGACAAGGATCACTCATATACATTTTGGCAGATGGGACATGGATCACAGTCCTTTTTTGTCTGAGAACAACATTCCTGTTACATAAATTTTTAGGGATAAGGAAAGGGATGGAGTTGGGGCATGGACAACATTATTTTTTTAAGATGTATTTTTTTGGCGTTTTTGCCTTTATAGGTATAGGACAGTAAAGTTTGGCTAGAAGCAAAGTTGGAGAGAGAGGGGAATGGGATTGGGAAGTCCAAACTCGGCGCTATATGTTGGCATAGTCAATGGTTAGAGTTAGCATTTGTGTTAGGGATCAGTATAGTTATTTTTAACTAAAAGTTATTTAAATAGTCCACTTTAGACATTCTATTGTCAACTTATTCTACTGATCTTAACCGTAACAGATAACATTATTAATACTCTAATGAGGGTAAGTTGACATGTAGTTGCAAAGTTACTTAGAAGAATGTCTAAAGTAGACTCAAAATATAATGTAACCATTAAAACTAAAATAGTTTAAAATGAAGCTGAAAAATATTGTCTTGGCAACTAATTGAAATTAAAGAAATTAAATTGAACTAAAAATGACTAAAACTGAAATAAAAAATAAAGCTAAATAGAAAAAAGCACATAACAAAATAATTTAAACTAAAATTAAACAAAAACTAAAAATATAAAAATAAATGCTAATTTAAATATTGATTTGAAATATTGATTAAATATTAATAAATACTATAATAGTAGATGAATAATACAAAAAAAAACATTGTTAGGGATAGGGTTAGAATTGTGTGTCATTGGTAGACAAGTTGTTCCAGGTCCAACAAATGATGTTGATTTAGATTTATATTGTAAACATGTAATAAACCACAGGTGACAAATACTTGCTAATTATAGAATTAGAGTACATTTCTGGAACAACATTTTGTTTGAATCTGTGTTTATGCAATGTTTGTCAATGAACGTATAATCTGTATTTTTGTTTTTCTATTTAATGCTTTCCTCTGTACAGATTGAGGTAAACATTTTGTTGATAACCTAAAACTCTAACCTAGTAAATGTTACTGAATACTTTTGGAAGTAAGTAAGTTTCAATTTCTTAATATCCAGATTCTCGAGGCAACTCCTCTGTTAGAGTCGTTTGGAAATGCTAAGACGGTCCGAAATGATAACTCCAGTCGCTTTGGAAAATTTGTGGAGATCTTTTTGGAGGAGTGAGTATTTATTTCTGTTGTATATTGCTTCTGTTCATATATATATAGCTATTTAAAGTAGAATGTTTGAATGTTACATTACGTTTCAAATCCATTGTAATGTGCCTTTCTAACTCTTTAATGTCTCTCAAGCCTGAAACCGTTTCTTGAGAGACGACAAGGGAACTAGATCTGACCTTATGTGAAAGTAGGGCAGTAAGGTCGTTATTTAACCTCTGACAGTTAAAGAGAGGAAGCAGATGGAAAGATAATTGAGAAGTCCAAGGAAAGTTCCTACACTTGACCAATCTGTGTGTATTGTCATTGGTATCAGAGGGGTGATCAGTGGTGCCATAACCTCGCAGTATCTACTGGAGAAGTCCAGGATCGTTTTTCAGGTCTGTTGTTTCTTGCCCATTTAACTGGGAAAAGGCTAAAGGAGCCATGTATTAATTACTGACATTTGGGACCTAATCTGTACTGTGTCTGCATGTGTCTGCAGGCCAAAGACGAGAGAAACTACCACATCTTTTATGAGATGCTGGCTGGACTTCCTACGCACACGAAACGGGCCTTCTACCTACAGGAGGCTGAAACCTACTACTACCTGAACCAGGTAAATAGAGGCATGTACCAAGACACACCATAGACATCAATGCAAAGCAATTGTTTTCGGCATTTTTCGCGCAAAATGGTTCAAGTGCAACTTTTAAAGTTCTTTAAAAAGAAGACAACAGAAAAGGTTGATTAGAATTTAAAGACATTCCCCTGGCATATGTTATTGTGCTTTATGTGTAACTGTGAGGGATTGAGAGACGACAGCAGAGCAGACATTACCGAATCACCGACTTTGCAAAAAACAAACAAAAACACGTCTTGAGAGTCCAAAAGCATTCACTGCGCGATGAAGCCTATTAGAATGCAGTTAGAAAGCCCTTATAATTCAAGCAATGAATGAAAAAATAGCCATGTATGTATGACCCCTTTAAGTTTTATATTCATTGCACAAGCAATGTACTTTTCTGAATATCAGCACATGTGCGCGAGCACAAATGTGCCATTAATTTTATACAACAGTGCAGAGCAATGCGGTGTTTCGTTCCTTGAATTAATCAGTTTTTGATCGAATCGAGTGAGCCAGTGATTCAACGATCCATTCAGATGGTCTCACTTGTTTAGTTTCTAATTGAATCAGCCATTTTGAATGATTTGTTTGATTTGAATGATTCAATTAATAATTTTTTAAAGCAGGGATTTCCTGCCACCTACTGGTGGTTTTATTGTCATCATCATTTATAATTATGTATAATTATGTTCATCGAATCGAGTGAGCCAGTGATTCAACGGTCCATAGTCTCACTTGTTTCGTTTCTAATTGAATCAGCCATTTTGAACGAATCGTTTGATTTGATTGATTCAATGAATAATTTTTTTAAACAGGGATTTGCTGCCACCTACTGGTGGTTTTATTGTCATCATTATTTATAATTATGTATAATTATGTTCATGGTATCATGTCATGTTAGGGTGGTAACTGTGAGATCACTGGGAAGGATGATGGGGAGGACTTTAGGAGGCTACAGAGTGCCATGGACATTCTCCACTTCAGTCCTGAAGACCAGAGCAGCATATTCAGAGTGCTGTCATCCATACTGCACTTGGGCAATGTCTTTTTCCAAAGAGTGGAGGTATTGTACACTTAAACATCTGAAAAGTCCTTCAGTAGTTGTATGCAAATATAGCACACTTACATGAGCAATGTAATCAGTCTTGTGGACCTTGTGCTTTGGATTCTCTGTCTCAGACAGAAGTGCAGGAGACAGCTGGTGTGGTGAGCACTCAAGAGATTCGTGCAGTAGCCGATCTGTTGCAGATTTCCCCAGAGGGTCTGCAAAAAGCCATCACCTTCAAAGTGACGGTACATACATCCATAATGTGCTCTGAACAACAGCATGTGGTATTTTGGGCCACTTTTATTTTGAAATATAACAGGTTTGATATGGAAACCATCTCAGACTCACATTGTCCACCTTGCATATGCACTGAACTCTAGCCAATCATCTGATAGAGGAAAGAGAAAAAGGGTGAGAGAAAAGGAGACATTGTAATGACATGTAAGCAGGTTGCTGTTAATGAGTTCCAGTAACCTATTTTAATTATTCTGAGTTCAGCTCTGTGGAAACCACAGTAATCTAATCAGGAGTTGCTCAGGCCTTGAGTAATCTTAACACCTAATAGCTCGCTCACTGCCAGGATACCTTAACATTACATCACACAAAGATCAATGAAGGTTAGCGAGGACAGACAAGATAAAGTCAGGCCAGTTGTATTACTATAGTGTTATTCACATATTTTGTATTTATAGAAAATGGAACATTTCAGTGTCCCTAATCCCCCCGAATCCCCTTTTAGTATTTATGTACCATGGTAGTATTTGTTGTGCTATCTTTAATTTATGCGAATTAAGTGTTTAGTTAAAAAACATGTCTATTATAATGATAAATAATAATGAGTAATAGTAATAAACAAATGCTGATTTACAATAATAGGAATTCCAAAAACACAACAAAGTAACATATCAGAATTATCAAAATTTTCATAGTCCTAAAATATATAAAAGTGTTAAATTATAATAATAATAAAAATCTTTACAAATTATTTTTTATTTTGGGGTGAAATATGGATTATTTAGATTTTTTTTTTTTTACTGTCACTTTTGGATAATTTAAAATTACATAATACGAAGATCAATGTAGGTTACCAAGCACAGACAAGATAAAGTCAGGTCAGTTTTATTTCTAAAGCATTATTCACAATACATTTTATATTTCTAGAAAATACTCTTAATAAGAACATTTCCCTTCTAATGCAAAATAAATCTCATTCTCAATAGTGTAATGCAAAAAAAAGTACACAATGGTAGCATTTGTTGTACTACTTTTAATTTATGCTGATTGAAGTAAATGACAGTAATACAGTAATAGTAATGAATGCTAATTTACAATTATAGGAATTAGTACATCAGGACACATGAGAAAGGACGCATTTTTTTTATGTTTGCTTCACATGTGAGGTGTTACATGAATACAGTGTGATTGCCAGTGTGTTTGTGTCATGTTTTAATAAGTAAAGCTCTGTTATCCAGAGCTCACAGGTTTGTGTTTACACCAGCACTTACTTGGATCAGCTGTCACATAACACTGTATCGGTTGCACACACTGACTGTGACTTGTGTGAGTGACATAGAGTGTGTGTGAGGGTGAAACTGTATCCAGGCCTGTTCCCTGACTTCCGGGCAAGATGGGTCATAAAATTGAGGTATTTCTAGACATATAATCAAAAGATCTATTTTTAAATACTTTGCAAAGTAAAGCAAAGTGCCCAGTGAAGTAGCATACAATACCACAAAAATGTGATGTCAATGGATCACACGCTGGTTAGATACTCACACATTTTAGTCATTTTGGGGTTGTTTTTACACATAATTTGGCTTTTTTGCTTTCTTTTATGTTCATAAGATTAAATATTTATTTAAACATATACACTACCTAAGCCGAATGGCATGTTATTTGGTTTCTTCACAGGAGGCAATGAGAGAGAAGATATACACTCCCCTCTCAGTAGAAAGTGCTGTGGATGCCAGGTACACAATACGAAACACATTTTCTAGTTATTTGCAATATTGTTTTCATTGCATTTCAAGTATGTTTTTCTCCACTGCAATTACAGAGATGCAGTTGCCAAGATCCTTTATTCCTTGCTCTTTCAATGGCTGACAGAACGTATCAATGGGCGGGTCTACCCCAGGAACGAGGCGCTGTCCATATCTTTACTAGATATATACGGGTTTGAGGTATACAGTAGCACTCCCGAACACACATACAAACACATTTTGACACATTTATTACCTTGAAGGTTAAGTGTGCAGGTTTTTACTTTTTGGAATTTAGACCCTTCTAAACATACAAAATAATATTTACCATTGAGATGAGCAGAAGTACCATTATTAACTGCATATATCTCCATGTCATCTTGATTCGTGTTGTCCAGAGCTTGACGTTCAACAGCTTTGAGCAGCTCTGTATCAACTATGCTAATGAGAGCCTGCAGTTCTTCTTCAGCAAAATCATTTTCAAACAGGAACAGGTGAGAATTAATATGCACAATACTGTTCAAAGGTTTGGGGTCATAAGATGTTTTATTGTCTCTTGTGCTCATCAAGGCTGTATTTATTTGTAAAATAAATCAGTAAAAATGCAGTAAAAACAGTAATATTGTAAAGCATTATTAGAATTTACAACAGCTGTTTCTTGTATCTTAATATAGTTTAAAATTAAACTTATATTCAGCATTATTACTCCAGTATTCAGTGTCACATGATCCTTCAGAAATCATTCTAATATGCTGATTTGGTACTCGAGAACCTTTCTTGTTATTATCAATAATGAAAACAGTTGTGCTGCTTAATTTATTTTATAATCTTTTATAACATTTGTTTTGCTGTCAGTTTTGATCAATTTAATGCATCAGTTCTGAATAACAGAATTAATTTCTTTTTTTTAATCTTACTGACCCCGAACACACTATGATTTCTCTGATTTCAAACATTAAATTGCACACTTTCTTTCTGCACATCTCTATAGGAGGAGTACATTCGAGAGCAAATCAACTGGAAAGAACTGTCCTTCACTGACAACCAGGCATGCATAGACCTTATCGCTGCAAAGCCCCATGGGATACTCCGCATCCTTGATGACCAGAGCTGCTTTCCACAGGTTACACACTTACATTATTATGTTGAATGGGGATCCATTGAAAAAAAGTCTATTAACTACATGTTTTAACATTTGCTGACAGGCCACTGACAACACCTTCCTTCAGAAGTGCCACTATCATCATGGAAACAACCCCCTTTACTCCAAGCCAAAAATGCCACTGCCAGAGTTCACTGTCTATCACTATGCTGGTCGTGTAACTTACCAGGTAATAGACATACTAATTACACATGCAGTATTTTAATTACACAATTAATCCCAAAAGTCAGAGGCCATTGAATTAAGTAACTTTTATTTAATTTACCATTTGTAACTGAGGTTTTAATGATAACAGCGTGTGAAAACAAAATCTCACAAAGGGTTTTACTGATTTTAGGTCCATAAATTCCTGGATAAGAACTATGATCAGGTTCGGCAGGAAGTATTGGATCTGTTTATGCAGAGCCAGAACCGAGTGAGTCAATGTATCCCCATGCTTTTTTTTTATTTAGTCAGTTAAATATCCTGTTTTTCTCACTTTTTTCAGGTGCAACCCATTTTTTGTCCGCTGCATAAAGCCAAATAATAACAAGGTATGAAAAGACATTAGGCAAGCATCACTATTACTGGTGCACAGTGTTTTAAGTATTTGAGCGCAGTTTTTGCTATATGTACTGAGTTTCTGTTACCACCCTAATGCATCAATTAATTAAATGTATTTGCATGTCCGTTCAGGAACCTGGTATATTTGACCCTGAGTTGGTTGCTACTCAGCTCAGATATTCAGGAATCTTGGACACAATCCGCATCAGGAAGGAGGGCTATCCAATCAGAGTGCCGTTCCATAAATTCTTAAACAGGTATCCTACTCAACAGCTGGTGCTTGTTACTTATGGATGCAGTGCGGTACTGTGTGTAATCTAGTCTAGTGCTATAAATAGTGTGCCAGCGTATAGAATACAGCATGTTAGAATCAATTATCTCTGCCAATGTGTTTCCAGGTACAAAGCCCTGCTAGGAATGAAGAAGCCGCCACCTCCAGATGGAGATAACTGTGTCATTATGTTAATGAAGCTCTGCCCAATCAACAAAGGAGATTATCAAGTGGGTGTGTCAAAGGTAAGCAGAATGACAATAAAACACAATAAACAATAAAGCACTTCTAAGAGGCCGTTCACACAAAATGATTCTTTGCATCTAAAAACGCGAGACTCAGGAATGTTTTTTTTAAAAGTGCAACGCAGAATGCCTCCTCCGCCATGTTGCCGTCAAATAAACAGCTGGCATGCCAACTTGCTACTGTAAACAAAAGCTTGCAATGCTTGCCCCGCCTCCGGGGTCTTCTGATTGGCCCACTGATTTGGAACTGGCATTGACGATCTGCGCTGCGTGTAAAAGTTGAAATTCTTTTAACTTGACACGGCGTCTCAAAAGCGCGGCGGGTTGTACACGTCTGTCTAATGCATGTTTACATAGAAAAACAATGGAAAAGTAGCATTAGAATGGAAAAATGTGTTCTGTGTGAACAGACCCTAAGGACGCCAAAAGTCTACCTTTAAAAAAAAAAATAAAACATCATTTTAAATTGTGGAATGCAGGGTTATTTAAAACTACAACCATAAAAACATAATAATTTGAAATAAAAATAAACATTAAGTGAAATAAAATAAAATATTAAAAAATATTATTTTATTTCAGCTAGTTGTCAAAGCCACATTACTCATTTTTGTTTGGAAATATTGTGGAAATATTGAAAAGTTGAAATTAAAAAGTTGAAATATTAAAAATTAAAAACTACTTTAAAAAATTTTCAAATTCAAAACTAAAACTATATTAATAAAAACAATAAATGTTTGTTTTTTTGTTTTGTTTTTTTACTCTCAGCTCTTTCTAAAGGAGAATGTGTATCAGTTATTGGAGAGTAAACGTGATCGTATGATGCATGTAGCTGCATTGACCCTTCAGCGTTACGTACGGATGTATTTTGTCCGGAAGAATTTCCTCAAGTTCCGTTCGGACATGTCAAAACTTCAGGCTCACTGCAAGGGCTTCCTGGCCAGGTAAACTACCTACTGCTTGTAACTCTTCAATGCCATATCTTTTGCAAATACAAATGTTTGTGGTTAACTTTGCAATATGATTTACAGCTAGAGAATCCAAATACTGACTATGAATCCAGGTGATATTGTGCAGTTCAGGAATTTGAACCATACGGGAAAATCTAGTTTGCACTTTGATTGTAGCTGCTTTCACAAGGTTTCTAGTTGGCCTAAGCATAGTTTAGGTGCTTGATCAACTGGTAAGGATGAAGTCAATCTGGCAGACCTGATCATCTTGGACAACCTTGTTAGTAATGGTAGACCACCTTGGTTAAATTTATGAGAGCCTGGTTGAGCTGGTTAACTTGGTTAACCATGTTCCCAAGCTTGATTTGACCACCTTATAATCTGTTTTTTCCTGAAAGGAGAAATATTTTTTGTAGAAAAAAGCTAAATGTTACAATAGGAGCAACAAAACTGAAAGTTAAATGTCATTGAAATGACTGAAACTCTGGCTCTTACTGTGTTTGTGCCTTATAGGCGGTGGTTTCTGCGAATGCGTATAAACCTGATCAAGCACCGTGCAATGGTCCGACTTATTGTCAATCGCAAAAGATACATCAGGGTACGTTACCTAATAATGAACAGTTACTTCACTAACTGTGTACTGCAGTTAAAAATAAGTCATTCATTAATGTGAGCTCAGATTCAAGTTTTTTTTTACATTTTTTATGCTGGCTCTTTGTTTTGTTACAGGTCAACCTCCTCTTAGCGAGAAGAGCAGAGGAGGAGAGGAGAAGGATTGAACAGGTAAAAGAACAGACTGTGCTCATTATTAGATAAGGACCAGTTATGTTTATTTTATCAATTTGCTAAAGCAAACAAAAAATATTATTGCTCAAGCTTTGTTCAAAACCTTCAAACTTTGACACATACCATAATTATTGCCCAGCACATTTAACAAAAAAATAACCCACATTTGAATTCAATTGAAGTGAATACACAAAATATAAAAATACAGTCAAACTAATAATAATAAAAACTATTACAGTATATCATTGATACTAAAATAGCACTATCTCTCAATGCAGTACCAACCATTTTACATTCCTCCTATTATAATCAGTAAAGCTATCAAGTTTATGATGTTGCAGTTTTGCAACATGTCACATTCCTCATTGTTTATGGGGGAATCACGTTTGAAAATCACATTTGATACATTGACATCTTGCAAAACGAGTGAATAATAAATAATATTAAACCTATGTTTTTTTTTTTATGTTACTGACCTCAAATCGATCCATTTCACACAATTTCAATTATGAATGAAATGAGTACAAACAATGCAATAGTCCTGTTCTAATGCGAGATTTAGTGACAAAGCAGTTAATGAACTGTCTCTCCCTCTGTCTCTATCAGATTGGTGTCAGACTATGCTCTGAATGGCTTCAAGGCATTGTGCCAACACAAGCTCCTCCAAGCCATGCAGAAATCCTACCTAGTCCCTGAAGCATCTCGAACATACCCTCTATCCCTGCTAGAGTGGACTGCCACCCGCAAAAAAGCACACATGGTGCTCCAGGTGCACTGTTTTGACGGTAATTTGCTTTTACATATATGACAAAAAGAAGAGAATAAATGTGCGCCATGGCCATTGAACAAAACAGCATAGTTAAAGAAATTGTTAACCCAAAAATGTAAATTTGCTTCCAAAAAAATATAATTAAATAAATAAATAAATTTCAACAAATGTAAATTTTTAGGTGACCTATTCTTATAACAAACTGAGAAAATGCATTTTAAATGACCGATTATTTTTGATTGTCATGTCATCTTTTCCTTTTCAAAATGAAATGGCTCAAAAAGTCTTCCCTTAAATTAAAAAATAAATGTAAAATAACTTCATAAAACAGCATAAAAACAGCAGTCAGTAAACATGATTCTTGACTCTTGACAGCTTTGATTCTTGACTCTTGTCAAGTCAAGACTCTTGTCAACTCTCTTAAAACATTGTGCAACATAGAGCCCCAGTGCTTCTTAATGAGAGAGTGTGTGTGGGAGGTGGGTGTGTGTGTGTGTGTGTGTGTGTGTGTGTGTGTGTGTGTGTGTGTGTGTTTGTGTGTGTGTGTGCTGGTACAGATAAGACGGTCAGTCTGTATTATCTTGACTACTGGTGCCACCCGTCAACTCTCTTACAATTACATAACCATTATTAGCTAAAAAATATTAATGACCTCTTATTTGAGGGTTTCCCCCAGTGTGTTGATCATGAAGTGTTAAATAAACAATATTTCAGGAATTTCAGAGAAATATTTCAGGGATAGTTCACCCAAAAATGAACATTCTCTCATCATTTACTTACTCTCATGCCATTCTTTATATGACTTATATTATAATGCAAGTGCATCGACTGATGCTCCATAAAGCATATATATACAGTATATAAATAGAAGTACATTCATAAGAAGCATATAGATTTGCTACTATATGCTTCTTATTTGCTTCTAATGACTGTGCTTCTATTTACATTTTATAAACTGGTCAGTGCAAATTAAATATTTACTAAATATTTGCTTAAAAAAGACATTTGTCATTGTCAGCTTTCCTTTTAGGAAGGCAACATGTACTCACAGTAGCTCTAGTGACATTAGCTTTTCTACTGGGATCTTATAGATTGCAGTTATGATTTTTGGCGTGCCAACATTTTGAAACTCTCGAACTCTCTTCAAAAAATTATAGGAACTCACAGAGATGGATTCTTTTTCTAAAATTGTTTGGTTTTTGTTCGTCCAAAGAAAGAAAGTAGTATAGGCTACATCTGGGATGGCAAGAGTGTATCCCGATTTGTTTTTTTATCTTGATATTATGGCAAATTTGGATACTCAAGTCTGTTTAAGTTGATAAATGGTATGCTGTTACTTTTCTAAGCAACCAGATTTGTGCTTTTTACCTGGAAGACCATAAAAAGCTAAAAGCATAGATCTAGGAGGAAGCCGAGCTGTATCTAGAGAGAACAATATCAGAGAGACTTGTTTATTTGATTCGAGCCAGTATTATTTGATTATTTCTTTGTAGGTGTGTCTTTCCTGTGTCCTGTCCATTCCTGGACAAATGGAGAGGAACTTGCTGGAGACGTTCTACAACACAGGTGATTTTTTTTTTCTGCTGAGTTTTCAGATGTACTTGAAAACACAGCAACTTAAGGCTGGAATACACCACAAAACTTTTGCATAGACAGGCAGTCTCAGATTTGAGTTGACAGATTTCACTGAAACTTAGTTTATAAACATAATAGACTTGTAATCATGGTATCGGTCATCCTGCAGGGGCGTGTCCTCTGAGAGCCGATGGGGTTGGTCGGTTCTGATGAAGGAGCCGGCGCAGTGGGTGGAGTTAGAGGGTCACGATTATGTTCTGGATCTGGTGTGTGACCTGGAGCTGCTGCCAGACTTCCCCAAACAGAAGACATACTTCATCATCTCTACTGAAGACCCCAGCAAGGCACGACCTAACGCGAGCATGTACGCAGTATATTTAGTCATTCTCAGGCATGTTTCCATTGTAGTGCATTCTTGTCATAACATTTAATACATATGTTTATACGCAGAAGTCTCTTTGGCAGTGGATTTGAAGAGGATGAGGATGGACCGCTCTCATATGCCAACCGAACAAGCGCCGTTGCAACCAACAGCCTACCAATTTCTGAAGGCCACTACAATCTGGGTAGCCTTTTCAGCCTTTTAAAAGAAGCACATCATACATCAGTCCCTAGGTGGAAGGACATAATGTCGTTGACCCTTCCCAATCTGATTGGCCGGCGATTGTTATTGCACCAATAGGCCCATTGGCCCGCCAGTTAATAACCGAGCATAACCTCAAGAAACACTAAACTACAGCCCTTGCTTTAATCAATAGTAGCAGATCTACAGCCCTGCATGTAAAGTAGAAACAGATACACACAGAAAGGCTAGATTACATACAGCTGAACTAACCCTGATGGTGTTCTTGTAACCTTTCTGTGTGCGTGTCCTGAGGAGGCAACGTTATACAGGTTTAAAGGGTTCTTGCAGAGGTGAATGCACAGGTCATTGATCATTATTAATCATGTTCTACTTGTTTGTTCTACTTGTGTACCTGTCTTCACTTGGTTTGATTAGACTTTTGGGTTAACTAACAAATGTCCTTTCTTTTTTTGGTTACCATTTTTTTACTTTCTCTCTCTTCTGTCTCGTTATCTCTTTGTCAGACTCAGAACCACCCTATGATGGCACTCAGAGAGGGATGGACCGGTATTTGGACAGCCTGTTTGACCCAGTTCTGTCTGATGGAACTGGGGTACGGTGTCACCTGATTACCTCATACACACAAATGTGAATAAGAGAGAGTGAGAGTATGGAAGATTGCTTTACAGTCTTACTGTAATTTGCAGAGTCTCATTTATGTGTTGATTGTGTGTGTATTTGGCTGGGCTTCCTATGATCGTTTTACACACAACACTAAGAAATAAGTAAGCAAATGAGGCTGTAATTTTTTAATGAGGCTTATCCCACACACATAGAGAGACAGAGACCAAGAGTCATGCTGTAAACGGCACACGCAAGTTATATCAATTAGATTTCTCTAATGTCTGTTACAGAAATAAATTAAAAACAGTTTAATATGTATGAAAGCATGATCTGACTCACTCCTTTGTATGGTTGGAGCCACAATACCTTGCATTATATTATGCACGTTTTTTTTTTTTTTTTTTGCTGTTGTACATTTAAGCATGTGGTCAGTAACTGGATTATTCTTTTTCATGTAGGACCTTGATGCATCAGTTTTGTCTGGTAGGATGAAGGGTGGAGGAGGTGTAGGTGGTGATGAAGCACAACCTCCTGCTAGGGTCAATGTCTCAGCTGCTCTTCAGCCTGGAGGTTCACACACTCATTTAATGCTTTCTGCTGAAAAGTCCAGCTTAAACAAGCAGGAATTTCTTTGCTGGTCCAGGCTGGTTTATGCTGGTTTTGGAGATGGACTGCCAGCAAAACCTATCCAACTTTATCTGCATATATACTGTACTATATAGCAAATCTGAACTACCTGATGTTTTGTCACAAAATGTAACTACATTATCACCCACATCTTTACATTAATTTGGATATATAAGTATGCCCATCTCATCCCAAGTATGCAAATCTCAACTGCTTGATTGTTTGTATCACAAAATCTCATCTAATTCTAATCTGCTAAATGCTACTGTAAGGCATTAAGATATTATAAACATGAAATGAGTATGAATAGTTCTCCCAAAAATGAACATTTGCTAAAAATGTACTCACCCTCAGGCCATCCAAGATGTATGTTCTTCAGAACAGATTTGAAAAATGTTAGTATTGCATCAGTTGCTCACCAGTGGATCCACTGCAGTGAATGGGTGCCATCAAAATGAAAGCCCAAACAGCTGATAAAAACATCACAATAATCCACAAGTAATCCACACATCTCCAGTCTACCAATTAACATCTGAAGTGAAAAGCTGTGTGTTTGTAAGGAACAAATCCATTACTAAGGCATTTTAACTTTTAACCATCGCTTCTGGCCAAAATAACAGTCCATAATAATGCTGAATGAAAAGGTCCATCCTCTAGTGTCATTTCACACCATAATCCATCAAAATATTTGTTTAAAACTGTTTTGGATGCTTGATCTGTGCTTATTTCTCTCCTGATTCAGGCAAGGCGACTTTTAACTACAGAAAGCAATATTATGGATAGAGGAGACTTATTTTAGCTAGAAGCAACAGTTTGAACTTAAAACTATTTTAATGATGGAAACACACACCTATTCGTTCCCAAAATGTTAATTGATGGACGGAGTTATGTGGATTACTCACTGTGATGTTTTTAACAACTCTTTGCACTCTTATTCTGACGGCACCCATTCACTGCAATGTTGTAATGTAATGCAGAGATATAATGCCAGATTTCTCCAAATCTGTTGCAATGAAGAAACAAACACATCTACATTTTGGATGGCCTGATGTTGAGAACATTTTCAGCAAATTTTCATTTTTGGGTGAATTATTCCTTGTTTTTCTGTAAAGCTATTTTGAGACTATGTGTATTGTGAAAAATGCTATACAAATAAATTTGACTTGACTAATGAATCTGGTCAAGCAGCTAGTAAACTTAAGAAGCCTGGTAGGGACACCAGCACACCAGCATCCCAAGCTATGCTGATATTTTGAGCTGGACTTGAATTATGAATGCCCACAGACATATATTAATGGTGTGATGGCCGTGTATGTGTAATATTTTTCTGCTCTGTGTATTCTGTAGCAGTGAGAGTTCTACCACCCATTCCAGGTGCTTCAGTAATGCCCAGTATGCCAGTAGTGCCCTCAGTGCCAGGTATTTCTAATTAAAATAACTTCAGCTTTACAGGGATTGAAATTAAGTGATGGACAAGTATTCATTATTATGTCTTTTAATTTTGCCTGTCAGACCCGCAACAAACTGTCCTGGCCCAACAGCAACAAACCATCATCAACCAGCAAGCCGTCATTATGGTAATAAAGTCTTTATTTAATGGCTTTATAACCAAACAGCTTTTTCTTTAATTCAGTTTAGTTTAGTTTAGTTCAGGGTTATTACTGTAAACTAAATATAAAACCATAAAACATTTTTAGTACTATCTATTATTTAGTAATGATTATTTAAAATAATCATTAATTGAAAGATTAAAATACCCCC